TCTGGCTATTCTTCTCTGCCCTCTGGAATCAACAACATTCCAGCACATTCCAAAGGTGCTCTATTGGAAGATTGGATCTGGTGACTGTGGAGGCCATTTGACGACAACGAACTCAATGTCAGTTCGCAAAAACCAGTTTGAGATGACTTGAGCTGTATAACATGGAGCATTGTCCTGCTGGAAGCAGCAATCAGGAGATGGTTTCACTGTCGTCATAGGGGATGGACATGGTCAGAGACAGTGGTAAATTCATATTCAGGGTCCCCAAATGGACAAGAAGCCATCCACCACACTGTTACATCGTTGCACCACCAGCAGCAGCCTGAACTGTTGATGCAAGGCAGAGAGGACTGATGCTTTCAAATTCAAACCATCTGAATGGTGCAGCAGAAACAGACTCATCACACCAAACAACTCTTATCCAGTCTTCTACTGCTGAATTGTAGCCTTTGTTTCCTGTTTTTAGCTGACAGAGGGCACTTAGTGCTGCTCTAGCCTACATCAAACTTTGGCCTTGGTCTCAACAAGAAGTTATTTGAGTTACTGTGTTGGTGCCACACATGGTGGGTCATGTTCAGAGTTATTTAAATCACCTTTCTGTGGAGATTCTGATTTGAACTTCAGCAGGTTGTTGTGTCTCCATGTCTTTAGAGATTTACATTAACAAGCAGTTTAACAGGTCAGCCTAGTGAGGTGGCTGGTGAGTGTATGTGACAGAAAATAAGAAAAAGCGTGAAGGATCTGCTTTAAGGTTGTGGTCCCAAATACTGAGTCTCATAGTACATTTCTGGCTGTTGCAAAAGTCTTGCTTAAAATATAAAGTAAATATTGTAGTATGTGGTCAGGTTGTCAATGTTGTGTGTTTCTTGATGGAAAATCTAAGAATCGTTGTTACCTTACGAGATAAAATATTACAAGGTGCAAACAAAAAGTTACTGGAATTGAAAAGTAAATGCAAGAGTCTTAAAGTGAGGGATCTGAAAACAGCAGTAGACCTCGAAGCAGTCGGGCTAAAGAAGCAGAAAACCTGCATGTAATCTGCCAAGCAACTGCAGATGTAAATGAGCTTCTAAGCTAACTCTGATACAATGCATCAAATGGTAACATTTATGTTATTATACATGATCCTTTTTTCAAAAAAAATAAACTCAATTACTAAAAGCAGTGGAAGTGCAAGAAAAGATTAATTTAAACAGATTTATGGCTAAATTTAAATATAAATTTTTAAGGGTTAAATCCATCAACTTTTAAAACCACACAAACCTCTTTTTAAATATTCAGCTCTATTATTTTGGCTTGTCGGGCATTGACCATTCGATCTGACTGAAATGATGGTTATTTAGAAATGCACAGATCGACTTCAGTATTTAGAAATGAAGGAAGCGAGTGTGAGTTTCTGCAGAAATGAATAAATGAAATGATGTGTTACAGTTGCAGCTGATATCCAAATTTCCCAAGAAAAAAAAAAAGGTTTAAAGCGTTTTCATTTTCATCTGTTGAAGATTAATGTTATTGAGAAATGTTACAAAGAATTGCCTCAGAAAAATAGATGGCCAAGTTGCTGAGGACACCATCTGACATTGATTTAGAAAAATTCCAAACAACTGAGACACAACACGGTCCGAGAAATACTGGAACAACAGCTATTCAGCATTAAGCATTTTGATGAGACTTCACAAATGATAAGGCAGCAATTAGATGGTTTTTTTTGTCACTTCAATCTGATACTTTAGCTTCGAGCGCTGCCTGACACGTGTCCAAAATTCCTGCATGTTTGAAAGGGAGAGAGAGCAAGAGAGTGAGTCACACAGTTGTGGTTTAAGAGGTTTGGAAAGAAGCCCTGCAGTCAGAGGGTATTAACAGAAACGAGCAGGAGTGGGAGGGTGTCAGGACACGAGTCCCTGAGGGTAAGTAACGAGAGGGAGTGGGGATGATGGAGGATGAGCGTGAGCGTGTCCTGTTGCCACTACATGAACCTCCATTAACCTCCAAACCCCAAGCCTGCAGAAAATTTGATGCAACCGCGTGGTGCTTCATCTAAATGGTCAAACTGGAGTGGACTGGAGTGGAGTGGAGACACTGAACCCAAAGTTACAGCTCCTCTGCTACTGTTGTAAAAACCAACTAAGGTCAAAAGCCTTCTATAGGTGGAAGCCAATTACCAGTTATTCCTGTGTGAGACACGAAAACAATTATTAGGAATGGGGCGAGAGGACTTTTAAAGATGTGAATTCTCAAGTTAACGACGATCGAAAGGCTTTCTGATAACTTTGCATAAAATATGCAAATGCATTTACTCTGCAAATGCTCGTTCTTTTGTTTTTATAACTAACACCTTTCAAGCTGTAAGAAAATACAAAAAAAGCATCTGTGAAGAGTACAGAGGATAAATTAATGTGAATCATGATGATGTCTGAACATTTAAAACATATTCAGATCTTTAAAGTGCAGCTTATGTCGTCCACTTTGGAAAAGAATTCCCAAAACGTTACATATTCCCCCCTCCCAATAATACTTAACATGCACTCACCAGACACTTTATTAGGCACACCGTAGGATCAGGTTTCATTATCATGTTCAAGTAACTGATTTCAGATGATTTGAGATTCTCAGAAAATGCGTGCACTGTGCACATAAACAGATAGATATGATCAGCAACAACACTCAGGCAGCCTGTGGCATTTGAACAAAGCTCAGCTGGTACTATGTGGCTAAAGGTTCGCAAGGAAAATATCCCATCTGCTTCAAGGTTCAACCAGCTTATCCGACACCAACAACCATGCCACATTCAGAGTCACCTAAGTAACCCTCTTTCTCCTCTCTGACGCTTGTTTTACATTTGGTGATTAAATATTTGCATTAACCCTTTAAGACCTACCATAGAACCAAGTCCGCCAGAGCTTATATTATATTTTTACATGCTGTGGAGCCATTTTTGGGAGCATT